CCCTAAACCCAATATAACCCTAGCATAACCCAATAAAACCCTAACATAACCCTAACATAACCCCATATAACCCTAATATAACCCCAATAGAACCCAACTAGAACTAAACCCGTGAAGCCCCCTTCCAGGAGCAGGCTCTCATCAGCCTTCCGAGGAGGTTGAAGCCTGGACGATTAAATGGGAGGTTGTCTGCTGTGCTTTCAGTCCTCCGTGTGTAGGCAGTATCTGAGCATCTGAGTGCCTTTAATCGAGAATCTGAATGTTGTCGGCAAAGCATTTTCAGGTTCTTATGGTATGTAATCATGCGGCTCTTGCTCCAAGGTTGTGCCAGGCTTGTTTCCGCGGTTTACGCTTGGTCTTGCTTCGGAGTTTAATCCCGCTCCGCTAACATAGGGTGTAGTCAATTCGCGCCCCTTGCAGGGATCACGTCTAAGAAGGCCCCTACTATTGCTTACTATTCTTAGGGACATGACTCGGGACACATCCTTCGCGAGAAAAAACTACATTAGCGAACCTCGATTTATAGATTTGCCACGTCATTGAAATTGAGAGCTACCTCGTAGCTTGTACGTAAGTGTAATTAGAAACGATTATCTAGGAAGGAAGGAATGGATCCTTATCGTCGTCCCTACATAGCCCATTATAGTGGTTTCCATCTATTTTTCCATTCCTTCGTTTCTAACGAACCAAAGGCCGGTACAGAAGGCCTGGAGCAAGCTCAGTGGCTCTTTTGAGACACCCGGGACTGACCACAAAACCTTGTTGAGTTTAGGTTGGGTAGTGCCCCCATTTAACAACAGCTGGATAATAAGTACACTATACCTGCATACAATAGTACCGCTTTCATAGACCGTTCCTGGATGGGGGTAGTACCCAAAGTTTAGGCAATGTGCCTCTCTAGCATGTGTTGTTTGAGTTGGGCGGGCCGCGAAGGAACTTCCACGACTTTGCTTACCTTGCCTCTTACTCAGCCTTCAGGAAACGTTGTTGTTTTTTTTAGGGTTGCTAATGCTGAAGCCAGAATCGCTAAACCCCAAGCCCTAGTCCCCAAACCTTAAAATCTCAACCCTAAACGTGAACCCCTCAACCCCTTCCCTAATGCTTCAACCCATCACCCTAACCCCTACCTGTAACCGCAATTACCTACAGCTACGTAGAAATTACCGTTGAACTAGTAGGCATAAGCAATAAAACTGAGATATCCCTACAGAAGACTATAGACCCAAAAGCCCTGAACTCTAAGCAACGTGGTTGTTTTCATCTGAAGCTTTAAGCCTAAACCCTAAACCTTAAAACCCCAAACCTTTGCCTCTGAGCTACAGGCCTGTTGTGACGGTCTGGCCTTCTACAAGTTAGCCTGGGAGATGGTTCACGACACTCGTGACTTCGGAATTAGGGTTAATGGGTTTGTGGCTTACGGAACCTAAGTTAAGTTACCATGATGGGTATATACAAGGTAAGTAATATGGTTTCCCCAACATAGTAATTTAAATTAAGGTCCTTAACAGCAACCCAGGTTAAGGGGTTTACGGGTTAGGGGCTGGAGGTTTGGTTGCTTTAGGTTTGGGGGGTTTGGGGTCTGGAGGATCTAGATTTGGGGGTCTAGGGCTTTAAAGAGGGTAGTATAGGGATATTGAAGTATTGCGTTTATAACACATCTTACCATGCTTGCTGGCGTTGAAAACACATTTTTACTTACATTCGCACCTGAATAAGGAACATAGAAATCGTTTTCTCATTCGCCGAACGAGAAACCAGCTTATAATGCAACATCTTGGGTTCAGAGCTGATACGGTTGGGGAGGGATGATTTAGAAATTAGGCTGTAGAGGTTGGGGCTTGTTATTCTTGGATTAGCGTAGGGATCATGGTTTAGGGTAGGAATTCCGGTTCAGACATGGGGGCGCAGAGCTTCTAAGATGGGAGTGACAAGGGGTAATAGGCCCCTTTCAGAATTCTGCAGGAATTTTTCGCAAGAACACAGTAGAATTTAGGGTTAGGCTGGGGTGGATGATCCACAACGCCTCTTGAAAAAAGGGGGTGGCTACAAAGGGTAGATACAGATATACTATGATCAAAAACTGTTATAGTTATGAGTTTTCTGGCAATGCTCAAGGACTCCCTCGCAGGATTTCGTGTCAGCTTCCTCCTGCGATCCTTTGCAACCCCAGTACTAGCTCTGTAATTCATACAAGCCCCTATAAACACCCCGTCCACATAACCAGCTCATGCTGAATTTGCACCAGAAGTTGCAGAAACGAGGAAATGCTTCCAGCGGTCCTGCGTGAGGATCGGCGGATCCCATTCAACATTTTAAGCTGCTGGGCAGTGCTGGAGTTAGGGTCCCGGTTTAGGGCTTGGGCTCAGCTTGGTTTGGGTGGCGGAGGGCTTTTTGGATGGAAGGTGCAGCGGTCTTGCAGGAAGTTTCTCGAAATAGTCCTTGTTGAAGCCTCCCAATCGGCTTGTCATACCAATACGGGAGTTTCCCAACACAAGGGGCCCCTAAGATAGACCCCAAAATACTATAATGCTTATTAAAATAATCTGTTATAGTACGGTATTAGGGTAGCCATTGACTCTGCCTCGTGACACACAGAGAGGCTAAAACACCAGGCTCGAAGCCCGGAGCCGTAAAGCTCTAAAGCTCCCAACCCTCAGGTTTTGGGGTTTAGGACCAGGGTTTAGGGTAAAACATCAAGCCCTAACTCCTGGAACCCTCAAATCATCAGGATTCAGGGTTCAGAATCATCAGGTTGCCTCGGTATCAACATCATTGCGGCCAACTGCAATATTGCTGTTACATCTGCCTCCTAAAGCCCTCAACCCCCCCTTCCTTACTGATATTTAGAATGGACTGAGGGAATATAATCCCCATATAGTATACTCCCTTGTCCCCTACTATAAACGCAATTCAGTATATGGCCTTATAATGTAGTAGTTACCCCTTATTCCCTACTGACCACCCGGAGGCTTCTCAAGCTTTAAACGCTAAGCCCCTAAACCCTAAACCCTGAACAGTAAGCCCTAAACCCTGAAATCTAAACCCTAAGCCCTAAACCCCAAATCCTAAACCCTAAACCCTAAACCCTAAACAGCAAGGCCAGGACCCCAGGGAGCTGAGCGCAACACTTGGCCTGCAGGCCCTGGGGTTGAGGGTTTAGGGCTTAGGGTTTAGGGCTTAGGATTTAGGGTTTAGGATTTGGGGTTTAGGGTTTAGGGTTCAGGGTTTAGGGATTAAGGGGGTTCAGTTGATGTTACAGGTTTAGGGTCCCAAGCCCTAAATCTTTACAATTAAGCCCTAAAGTCTAGGGCTTAATTAAAAAAAATCAGGGCGTGGGTTAGGTGCACGGCTTCGGAGTTGGGGCTGCGAGTTTGAGATTTGAGGTTTAGCGTTTGGGCTTAAGGCTTAAGGCTCACTCAGCAAACTGTACTCTTGAAAACCCTTGATCAGAATGCTGTAGCCTTAGCCACTATACAGAACCCCAACTGGAACACCTGAGCCAAAAACCTTAGCTTACTAGTCCCTATACTGCGGCGATGTCTCACCCAGTACTAAAGTTGTTGTAGCCCATCCTCATTCCCTACTGAGCACCTTACACGCCACACCCAAAATTGAACCCAAAACAATATTCAGCATTCGGCCATGCGAAGTTGAAATGTTGTGCGCAAGTAAGTAAGGTCCCTGGCCCAGGACGACTTTAAGCCTAGCGCGTGGCGCCAGATCCACAAGACGGAACAGAAAAAATGCCCGAGCTGTTTGTGCAGGAGGGGAGGGGGGGTGGTTGTGATTAAGAGATTGGAAGGGGGTTGTCGTGATCCTCTCTTTCATTCCCATGCAGTGTAGAGTTGGAGGCCAAGAGCTCTGGCATTGATGGCTCAGGGGTTCAGGGCTCGAGGCCTTTTCCCCAAACCCGAAACCCTTAACCAAAAACTTTGCGGGCTTCAGTTTCTTAAGGTGAGACCTTGCAGTTCTGGAGCTTAGGGTTCATGATGTGAATTTTAGGATGTCGGGTGAAATCTCAAGCTGTGTAATCAGCGGCAGGCAAAGAGTGTAGAGCTTTGAGATTTGGACTTCAGCGGTTTGAGGGTGTAGGATTTGGGGGTGAAAAATCCAGGGTGCAGACATGCAGATTGCTGAGCTGCACCTAGCTCTAGACTGAAAACAACATAAGCCGTACTTCAGACGCCATGAACCGTCCAATGAAAAAAGGCTTGGCAAGCCAACTCGTGGAGGTCTGAGGATGTAGTCTTTGTTCGACTTAGTAGAAGAGCGTCACGTCCCCGTGAGTGCAGGGAGTCAGGCTTTGGATGTACAGTGCAGGGTTAGGAGTGTGTTTTGGTTTGAACATGTGAGATCTTGATTTCCAGGTTGGTCCATGGCTTACTTAGAAGTTCATGGCAAAAAGCCAGGGTTGTTCCCCAAGCTCTCAGCCCTCCGAGCCCAAAGGAGTCAGGGTTTAGGGTTCAGGGTCTTGAAGTCGTTTCACTGCTGCGAGGAGCACTTGCCCCATTCCGGCCCCAGACACGCAAAGGAAACATGGGCAGTGACTGTAGAGCAGTTAGCAAGCAGTTTGGCCTACATAGGCCTCACACGCCCTTACAGGAGCTCTCAGCCCCAGCGTTCTCATCCTTATGTATGCGACGGGCTCCTTTAATTGTCCGTCATTAAGATGCAGGCGAACTGAGAATACTTCGGGGCGGTAGCTTCTTTAATTCAATGAGATCCACTACGCCAAGTGGGATCCTCCAATCTCCAGCTCCACCCTGAACCTAAGCCCTACAAACCCGAAGCTATCAACCCTGCTTCCTCATAGGCCTTACATAAGATATGCGCATACCTCTAGGCCCACAGGCTTCGGAAACTGCCAAGGTGGGCAAGCCATCACGTCCCTCGAACAATACGCCCCTCCACCCCCCTAATAAAACCAATCTGCGGGGAGGGGAGTAGGGAAAGGCCACAGTCTCGAGTCTGTGCAAACTGCACGGCTTTTAGTTCGAGCCATGGCCCCGAAGATGACCCTTGCCTGCAGTCACTCCCAGACCCCCCAATGGCTCAAAAAGCTATCTCTCCTGCTCAAGTCTTCAGATACATAGGGTCACACAGGATTTTGTTCACAAGAATTTCGGGTACATTTCTGAGGGCTACAATAACAGTCCGAATTTCGGAGGGCATATAGGCGGACATTAGCTTTGGACAGAATAACCATAAAGATCGCCTTCACCCCTCCGTCCTCCAATGCACTACCGAAATCGAGATATTGTTTGGTCTAGTGCTACTCCATATGTATATATAATAAAATATACATATGCATATAGTAATTTCCATTTTCTTTTCCATTATCCCAATATAACCCCAATAGTCTTGAAGTTGCGAGGAAGAACTTACAGAGAGCTTCAGCAAAGGCAGACCATGCCGCTGAGGGGAGATGATAAAGTGTGCAGCGCTGAACGCTTATGGTCTACTGTGGGTAGGTCCAAGTTGAGAAAGGATGCGGGCTGATTCATGTGAGCCCTAATTTGTCTAAACTCCTAGTATCCCCCTTAATAACCCCTATAATAGTCCCTTATATAATTCCCTTTATATCCCCCTTTAAGGAGTTTAGACTACAGCTCATGTGAACTCTATATGAAAGAGCGTTGGGTTGGCAACTCCCCGCAGGGCATCCATTCAACAGCATGTTCATGAAGGCTCTTCATTCTGTGCCAGAGTCCTCAAAAGTAACCCCAACCTACAAGCCCTAAGCCATCACCAGGACCCTGAGCCCTAAGTCCCAACCCCCTGAACCTGGAGCCCTAACCCTATACGTTGAGGCCCTGAGCCATAGCCCTAGACCGTGTTCCTGCTCGTATAAGCCTTAAACAATCAGCAGTTGTGTCTTCTTATAATATGTCTCTACGAGCGTAGCAACATACATTCCTGCGCAAGATCTCTTGATACGCCTCATACCAGGGGGCTAGTCTGACCCAAGCCCTGGCCTTCAGCCAAAGGGTCCGCATGAAAATGCGAAACAAAGCCGAATTCTAAGGAACATCCTCGAGTACCGCACGGCAAAGCTGGAAGCAAGGCCAGGAAATTCATTGTGCTCAGGATTCAGGGACATGTCTTGTTCGGGTTGTTTGACTGTGTAGAAGTGTGTAGATTTTTCGGGCCGTGCTTGGGTCCTCTACCATCGTGATCACTTCATTGCAAAGCAGACTTGTTGCAGCTTAGGCCGCAAGATTTTGAGTAGACTAGTTAGTTCAGGATGCTTAATCATTCTTGATACCATGAACCCAAGTGACACTTGGACACGCCTTGCTTGGCTTTGTCGTGGCAGAGCTATTCCTGGTCAGGGTTGGTGGCAGAACCTCGCCCCTACGCCCTGAGTTCAAGTTCCTTATGGGTATAGTCCCCCTTAAGTAGATAGAATATGGCAGGTTAGGATTTTATGACCATAATAGGGATATAAACCCAAGGAATCAAAGAGCGCTTACCTTTTTAGGGCTCCTTTTAGAGTGCTCTTTGATTCTTTCTAACCCTAGGTCAAAAATCCTAACCTGGAATATGGGATATATGGGGATCTCATTATAATGTACCCGAAACCATATTCTGTCTACTTAAGCGGGACTGTATCCTGCGACAGTTAAAAGCTTCTACAAGCAGCGCTGTGCTGCTCCTCACAAGCTCGCTCTTACATACTCCGCGTATTTTTGTTCTTTTTATCTGCCGTTTCGTGAAGACCCCTGGTTCCGTCTCCCCAAGCCAGATGCTGCATGACCCTGGAAAGAAAACTTCGTATATGAACCAAATTCATTCTGAAACCCTGCCTGCCACAAGAAAACAACAATAATAACAACAACGAGCACAATAATAGCACTAATATCTTTAAGAGTAATACAAAACAATGATTAGTCCTTTCGGAATCATACAAAAGCCAATCCCAACCCCTGATCATGGACGGGGCTGGGTTGAAGGGTCCTTGCGGGCAAGCGGATCCTGGAAAGGCAAAAGAAAGATGGTCACAACACCTTCCTAATCAGTGGCCTTAGTTAGGAGGACCCCCAATAGTGGTATAATAGGAATATGAGAGGACCCTAATATGATCCTTATTACCCCTTATAGTCACTATGACTACTACTGGGCGGGGGTGTTCACATAAGGCCTTATGTTTGGCTGCCAATAGTTCCAAAAAATGCGGGTCATTTTTTGGGTTGTTGCTAAAGAAGTTAAGCTAGTTACTGAATCATGATATGGACATGTTGAGTGGGTTTTGGGTTGATTGTTCAGGGGCCGAAATGGGAAGAACATGAAACATTAAATAGAAACCGCCTCTCTTTAGGGAATTAAGGAACTGAAGCTGAGTCACCATGATATGGATATATACACGTAAGTGACAAGGTTCTTTGCAAAGGTGGCTTAGCTTAAGTTTTTCAGCAGCACAGATTCAGGGCCCCATAAACCCCCCAACATATCGTACGTTTAGAAAACTTTGTATACAGGACCACCCCACGAAGAATCTCCATTTTTCGGAGATATGCAATTTAGGTCCACATCTTATCTATGACCCGGCATGTTGAACCCACAGGCAGGACCAAACTTTTAAACCCTCAACCCCTTACACTTTAAACTATTTACCCTAGAAACCCGTTACCCTCTAAAGCCTAAACCCTTTACCCTTTAAACCCTAAACCATGCGGCAGGATGAACACAGTAGGCTTTGAATCTGGCGGCATGCCTTCGCCCTGGAATCTACGAACACACCAGGGTTTAGGGTTTAGGTTCTCAAGAATATGGGGCCCTTTTGGTTGTAGATTATTTTTCGGCACATAATACCTAGGGGTACGAAAATGGGACCCTCATTTGGGAACTACCCTCTTCATCTACCGTTGCTTGGGCCCTTATACGGAGGAAGGTATGGGGCCGTATAGCTCACATTGGCAACATGGATTAAGTTCTGAGGGCTAGGGTTGGACTTTTGTTTGATAACTTTGGGATTGTCATTGGGCTTTGGGTCTGGGATTTGTGGCTCAAGATTCAGCTAGTGTTTTGGGGCTTGGGAAGTAAGCAGCAGATTCTGATTTCAGGGTTGCGGCATTTAGTAAGTGTTTTGGGTGTTGAGGGGGTAGGACAGGATTCAGGTTCAGCAGTTCAGGACCGGTCCTTTAGAGTTTAGCAATCACGTAGAGCTTCCTATTAGCCCCTTTGTACCACTTCCCTCACCCTGCTTGATTAAAGCTCTCCGCCCCAGAAATGGTCATGGGCGTTTCACTTCAGAACCGAACAGGCACGACAACCATATCCTTGTTATCCCCCGTTCGCCCCTCCCTAACGGTGTCCCACGGTGGTTTGTGACTTTGGTAGGGGTGCGGGTTGAAGCTTTGGGTCAGCGTCCCTTGATTTGTACCTTCGCCTTCTGGAAGACGTGGGAAGTACAGGCGTGCAACTGATGGTGCAGCACGGATTGGGCGGAAGAAGGGCCCTCCAAGCACTAACCTAAGGGCTCATGTTGGTATTGGTATTTCCATGAATACATGGCTCCAATACTCTACCCCAATATACTCTAGACTTTAATCCTTAATATAGAGATCGACGAAAAGGACCACTCGATTCTTGGGTATCTGCATATGGGAGCTACGCAGGGACAGTGAGCTCTAAGCTTTGTAACAGAAAAACGCTACAGAAAGCGAGCAGAAACCATGTTGAGGTTTGGGCTTAGTGTTTATGGTATTTATAAGTTGCAAATAGTGTCCAGGGGTATCGGTTTTCGGGGGTCAGTGTTTAGGGTTAAGGCTTAGGGGCGTGCAACTTCGACTGCAGAAGGACCTTCCTTACCGCAAGAGAAATTCAGTTACAGTTATAGCCTGGTAACATCCTGTGGCTCTAAGTCTATGGGCCCTAAAAGGGCCCTAAAGTCTTTAGATGATACCTACATTTGGCTGTTCTGAGCTTTAGGGACATCCTATAGTCTCTCATAATGACGATTATCGGTAACACTAGTGCGATGTATCTCGGCCGGAAACCTCTCTATCCAACCAGTTGTACTTGTACGTGCTGCGGCAGCCATCAGCCTGCTTTTAATTCCTAGGGGTACGATTTGGGTTTTGTAGTCATGAGTAATGGATTATAATATCCCATAGTCTACTATAATATGCTTAAAATACCATATTATAATGTACTATGATATTGTGATGGTTCATGGAGGCTATCTCTGTTAAGTCTGGAAATGATTCCTGCTGATGCTCTGTCTTCTGCTCTCCTTCCAAAACAAAGACTTTTCAAAGGCTGAACAACCCTGCCGTCTCCCGCCTTGCAGGCATTCCCCTCCCTTCTTTTTGCAATTGTCCAAAAATGTGGGTAGCTAGTTTGGCGAGCCGAATGATATTGGCCCCGAAACTTCAAGCTGCAGAAGCTGCTGTGAAGGAAGAGGTTTCAAAATACCTGGGCGCAGGGGATGAGTTAACACTTCCTTCGCGAACCGCATATGACCCTCAGCTCCAAGCACAAAACCCTGAACGTTTGGCCCTACATAAGAGCATGACTGAGGCCAAAGCGCATGCAGGGCACAAAGCCCAACAACATGGAACTTTGGCTCCATAGTCCTGAGTTCCTGATCGGGTCTTAGCCCCAAACTGCTTGGCTTTTGGTCAAGTGGCTTCGGGTTTGTGTTTGAGGTTGGAACTTCACCTTTCTAGGGGCAGTGTATGTGGTAAACTTCTCATTGGAGTGGTGTCCTTGAGTTCCGCCCCCCCCCCCCCCCCGG